TCCACGTGGAGGGTGATGTGGAGTCTACGTGGAGGATGACGTGGAGTCCACGTCAGCATCTTTACCAGTTGGCATACCCACGTCAGCTGTTCCAGTTAAGTTAACGTGCCACGTGAGCAAAAATTAACGGAAGGACCAAAAAGGGGCCGGATTTGTGAACAGTAAGGACTAAAAAGGGGATTTTTTCGGTACAGGGACCAAAAAGGGGCTTTTTCCTATAGTAGAGGGACCAAAAAGGGTATTTAACCTAAATCCATTACTGGCTGATGAGCACTTCTAGCTCTCTCCTTCTTTCTTGGAGTGGGAGTTGTGGCCTGTTGAACTGGTCGAGTTGGGCTAATTACTTGACTCACTGGAGGATCTTCTTAGGTCATGTTCACTAGTTCTTCCTTAGCAATACGTGGTTGGTTGTCTTCTCCATGGGGTGGCTATTCCTTAGTAAGGTATTGCTAGTTGTCCTCAACAGTGGGGGGCTGACTATCCTCAGTATGGGGTGGCTGGTGGTCATCAACAAGGGGTGAATGGTTGTCCTCAACAGGGGTGGTTGCTCCATAGATGGTTCATTCTCCATTTGAGGCACCTAAAAATGGTAACAAAAGTATAATTAGAAAGTGTGGAGCAATATAGGGAGAAAAAATAAAGCTAAGCATACATGTTTGGATGTTACTTACATTTGGTGGTTGGCCTTTACACGATCTAAAATTGTGACCTTTTTGGAAGCATTTCTGGCAAGTTATTTTTCTTCCTTGTCTTCCCATTTTTGTCTTTCCTTCCCATTCTTCATGATTTCTTTTTTTCTTGGGCTTGCCAGGCATCTTCCTTGGTACAGGTGGCTGTATGGTTAGCATCCTTGTTGGTGTCCATTGATTCATGCCTTCAACAACGGGTACCTCATATGCATAAGATGCCTTAAATGTGGACAACTTGTACCAGTCTGAAACATATTCGTCAACTCTTAGTTTTTTTAAACTCAATACCGTAATGGCATGTCTACAAGGAATCCCAAATAGATCCCAATACCTACAAGTGCATGTGCTGTCTTCCAAGTTTACAATATAAGTGTTTCTGCCTGATTCCACTTTATTTTTACTATCCATAAAATCCTCAACTTCACAACCAACTCCACTAGGCCATAGGACTCTACATTTCTTACTACCTTCCCTATTCCGTACAATCTTAGTCCATATTTCAGGGCCAAAATCTCCCACAAACTTAGTAGATCCAAACTCTCTCCTAGGAAAGTCTTTGCTACACACATAGCTGTCATTTCTTGATTCAAAGAAATTATTGCCTTGTGTAGTGCATCAACAAGTAAGGCATTGAACACCTCACACATGTTGTTGTTGACCACAGATGACTTAATTTCAGTTTTGAAAAAAGCTTTGCTCCAATGCTTGGGATCTACACTCATTATGTCATCCCTTGCTACAGGCTTCAATGTGCCTAACTCTGTTAAGGCTGCATTGAATTCTGCCTCATTTAGTCACACATCTCCAAAATAAGGCTTGCAATTCCTTCCTTTTGTGTTTCTTCTTGAAGTTGGCATATCTGTGCCTAGCACAATGTTTGTGTTTTGCATTTGGAAAAAGGCATGCAACAGCATTTACCAACCCCTGCATTTAACCAACAGTGTCAACAATAACCAAAAAAAAAAAAAAAAAACCTACAAGGGATACATATCAGGGACCAAAAAAGTGCTAGAATAAAAGGTTAGGGGACCAAAAAAGTGCATGCCTAAACTTTTTCATTCACACCATGCATGCAATGCAGGTATACAGTATAAATGAAGCTTGAAAAGTACACTAAATTGTTTAAATGAAAATAAAGTATATTATACCTTTTGTTGGTAAGATATTATAGCATAACCATCACCATCTCCTATTTGCAAATCCTATTTAAGTTGTTCCAAAAACCACGACCAACTTTCTTCCTTTTCAACTTGCACTATACCCCATGCAGTTGGGTACATTTGGTCATTGGCATCTCTACCAACAACAGCAGGTAATTCCTCTTTGTGTGCTCCTTTGAGAAAAGCTCCATCTAAACCAATGATTCTCCTACATCTAGCAATGAATCCCTTTTTCATTGCACTAAAACACACATATATCCTCAAGAAAAGAGGGTTGAGGTTAGGTAGTGGCCTCAGTGCATAAATTGAAACAATGGCACCTGGATCTCTTTTTCTCAATTCTACAGCATAGTCAACAAGTTTGTTGTATTCCAAGGAATGATCCCCTTCCAAAGTTTTTCTCAGCCTCCTTTTAATAATCCTACCCTGGGTTCGAGTCAACTCCACATTCAAATCATCTCATATGTCAGTTAAAATATCTCTACTTTTCAAATAAACAACAGTAAAACCCTTAGTCTTCAACAAATGGTCATTGCAAATGTTGAATTACATCTCTAATTGGTTGATCCCCATTCACATGTGTGTTCAGTGTTAAATGTCTTAACCATCCATGTCTTGGTTGGCTTATCCCATGCTAACAAAATCTTCCAATCATAGTTGCTTTCTTTACAAATAGCCCTGTGTCTCTTTTTATCATTCTTCACCCACCTAATTGGCCTCCTCTAGATAGTGCTCAATTTATCCACAACTTTTTTAAACTCAGCTTTATTTAGAAAAACCATGCCTAACTCAATATGTGGCATGGCATCATTTGTTTCTTTGAAAACTTTGTGCCTACCTTTCCTTCTCCTATCGTGTTCAACTTCACTTCCATCCTCTTCACTTGTTGAAATGTAGCTGATATCATCATCATCATCATCTGGGCTTAATGAATCCTCAGGACCAAGATCATTTTGACCAATTGAAGATGAGGGAGTTTCATGACTAGTTCCTGCAGGCAAAGCATATATATTACTGTGACTTCCATTAAGTCATTAGTGAAATAAGTAAAATAATAGGGTTGATGAAATACCTGTTGATGGTTGACTGGGACCATACTTAACACCTTTCCTAGAATTTTTTAATCTAGAAGTTGCCTTATGCAAAGACTTCATTTTCTTTCTCGCCTCGATAGTTTTCTCATCTTTATTATCACTTAATTTTGATATATATGGAAGAAAATCATCTTCATCCTCAGAATGTTCATTGTCTTCATTACCATCATTACCAGCATCCTTAACTCTGCCTTCAACCTCAACCACATGACTAGCATCCTCAGCTCTGGCTTTAATCTCAATTGCATGCCTAGCATCCTCAACTCTGCCTTCCACATCAACAGGATCATTTTCTACTCTCCCCTCAACCTCAGCAGGATTGTCCTCAACATTACCTTTATCACTAGGGGCAGGTAATGATAAGATAGGTATAATTTCAACAAAATCTAGGACATGAGACACATAAATATGTACCTTTTTCTCCACATTCAACACCGCCAAAACATCCCTAATGTCATCATCATTCCTAATAGGTTTCAATCCATCTGTAATTGTTTTTCTTGGTTCTAAATACCATATTTGGTTGACCATATCAGCATCATATCCAGCAATACCAATCTTAGTATAAAGTTCAAACAAGGTCAACCTATCCCTATTAATAATCCAGTCATCACATTCACCATCAACATATGAAATTCAATTATCAACTCCCTGTACAAACCTCCCACCCAAATGAATGAAAATTGGTACAGATTTGGTTTGTGCCTCGTTTCCTAAATCATACTCACCCTAATAAAATAAAGCAAAAAAAAAAAATTACTCAATACATATCTGGACATAGTAGACACTAGCAAAACCAGCAGCATTCAAAGTAAACATTTTAAAATTGTTCAGACAATTTCACTTAATAAAGAAATTATTATTCAATACAAGAGTAAATGGGAAAGACAAAAAAGACACAAACTTCCTGTCTAAGTGGGGACCTAATGTCATTTTCTCCTCAACTAGTCATGCAGTTCAACATGCATCAAATTTTTTGGATCACTTTTATCAGACAAGGGTCCATGTCAGTATAAAAAAGTACCCTCTGAATCAGTTAGACAACAATAGAAAAAAGGAGAAGGAAACCCATCTCGATACCTTGTCTTCTATAATCTCTTCGCTTGGTTCCAGGTCAACATCAACGATTTTGGGGTCATTAGGGTCCATCGATCCTGCTTTCGAGTGACTTTCCAACAATCGCAACTTCGATTCCCTTGGCAAAACTTTGGAATCCTAGCAAATGTAGGGTTCAAGTTCAAACTTTAAAGGAGAATCGAACAAGGAAAACACGAAGGAAGACAATTTGCAATCTCAAAGAAAATCTTTGCAATCTCAAAGAAAATCTGGGTTTAGGCTCGAAGAAAATCTCTTAAGTTTTTAGATTTTTGGTTAAATGCTGAAAAAGAAACCCAAAAGACATCTTCCTTTATCTGTGGTTTTTGCAGGCAACGTGGGACCCATTGAAGGAGCATTGGAGGAGCTTTGGTGCGGGAAAATGACATGTCATAAAAAAAAAGTCCAAATCAACACCTTTTTAAGTTGTCCTCGCCATGTCATCAAAAAATATATAAAAAATACCACATGGGCCGAGTTAATGGCCCAAATTGACAGAAGGACAAACGTTGTGTATTTCTTAGAGTTGAGAGATCAAAAATGTGCAAAAAATTCGTTATGAACCAAAAATGTACAAACCAATAAAGTTGAGGGACCAAAATGAGCATTTAACCTTTTCATTCCACCGTTAGACAGGAACAATGTTTTTGGGCCCGATGGTGGTTGACCTCGTTTGGCCACGGGTCTGGTTGAACCAGTTGAACCGGTTCATCTGATTGGTCCAATCGGTCAACTTAAAAAACAATTTTTAAACATTTTTATTAGATTTTACTATTGTATATTACTGTTATTTTATGCTTAAAAAATAGTCATCATAAGATCAACTTGAAAATCATCATTTACACCATTTAAAATAATAAATTTAATTAAATACATATAATATTTAAGATCTAAACTAACAAATATTAAAATACATAATACAAGATAAGTTGATCAAGTATGATAATAAGAAAAAACTCAATCTTAAACTAAATTCACCACAAAATAAGTCTTGAATATAAAAAAAAGTCTTAAACCAAATCCACAATAAAAACAAATGTTAAATTGATGAAGCATTATTACTAATTCATTTATTTTGCCCTAAATGATGAGCATTTTCATCAAAGTAAGTACGTAGTTTTCAGAAATCATGCTCATTATTACTATCTCAAATCCATCACTAATTGTTAAATCACTAAACTCTATAATCTTAATTGCTAATATTTCAATTTTTTTAATTTATTCATAATTAAAAGTTGAATGTAATAACTAGTAATTTTACAAAAATTAAATAAAAATTTTAATTTTAATATTTTAACATCAAACAATTTCTATAAAAAATAAAAAGAAAAAGGAAAGAACAATATCATTAAATTAAATTTTATTTAATATTTAAACACTTAAAATTTTGGATCTTATCCAATCATTATCATTATTATTTATGATTTTATTAAATAAACAATTGAAAATCTTAAAAATAAAAGCTTAATTTAATTTACTAATATGATTCATAATTTGAGTTTAAAGGTATTTAGTATTTACTTTAATTTTATTATCTTAGTTTTAAAATTAAGTAGTTTATAAATTTTATTTTATGAAAATATTTTCCTAAAATGTTCTTTTATATTTAATGTGCCTTTTATTAATTAATTTTTATAAAAGAATAAAGATTTTAATTTATTAAGAATTTGTTTAACATGTCTCTTAAGAGTATAAGTTAAACTTCATTAAATGTAAAATTTTTAATTAATTTTACACAAAATTTTATAT